GAAAGCGTCTGGCAATTTTTATTTATTTATTATAAATTTTTATGAATTAGTAAGGCGAATTCAAAATGTTTTCTTTTTGCTATTATGTGATTCAGATGGATGTTCGAAGTAATGCTATTGTTCGACAATCAGCTGCTGTTGATAGGGATAAAGACACAATGAGGCTGGCAAATCATAATGCAGTTCAGGGTGAAGATCGATCTTCAGTTGGTATTGATGGTTGGGAAAAGTCGAAAATGAAGAAAAAACGATCTGGCATAAAAACAGACGGTCCATCTACTTTGGCTTCAAATAAAGCTGTTGATGGTTACAGGGACTTGAAGCAGGGCATACCGAAATCAGCTGGTGACATCCGGTCGAGATTGAATGGTGACTCGAACATGTTAAGGTATGGCCTATGGTATTAGATCATAACCTTTTGGTTCAATCAGTTAAACATACAAGGTCCAATGCTGATTTTCACTCTTATTTTTTATTATCTTCTCCAATTGCCTATTTAAGCTTCCTTTGTTTCGTTAAGAATTCATTGAATGAGACAAGTGGAAAGGTGAACAAAGTTAAGATCAGAGTTGTGATCAAATGGTTTTGTTTTCCTTGAACCCTGAAAGCTTTTTAGATTATTTTGGCTGGGAGTCTATCCTCTGGTTTCATCTGTTACAACTTTGTTTCCTATGGAGGATGTGTATACTGCATCTGAATAACATCCAGCTCGATATGTTCTGAAAAATGTATTTCAAGTTACCTGATTTTATGTACTCATTAGATATTTCTTATGAAAGTTATCATAATATGTGATACTTTTGCTTAGATCCATCGTATTTAGTTTATTAGGAAAATATTCAGAAATGGGATTTCACAAAATTAAATGGATAGCTATTCGTTTCCTATTTTAAATTTTTATACTCGGCTTTTATAGAAGTAAACGCTGGATAGATAAGCCTTTACGCTCTTAAGAACTTTTGTATGCTGGCAAAAGTTCCGTTTATCACCACAATTTTCTCACTGGTACTTTTATAAGCCAAAGCACTGACCTTGATTCGACGGTAGCTTTAATTCATTCGTTTTTGTTATGGAATTGAGGTTGGTTGCTGAGACTATGCCGGAGATTCTTTGGTTTAAGTGCATATCTGATTGAGCACCATCTCTTCTTTCGCCTATCACTCATTTATCTGCTTTCTGTCAACGAAGGTTATTGCAACTCTCTTTTGGTGGTCATTCAATTGGTTAATGTTTCCTGTTTGTACTTGTGTAGGCATGGGGCAGTGAATGGTACTGTTCCATATGGAAGATCCGATAACCTCTCTCAGCAGACAGGTTTGGCAGGACGTTCCTTGCTCTCCAGGGATTCTGATCACAATTTGTTGTACAATGACAAGAGAGAACGAGCTACTGGTGATAGGGAAAGGGTGAATCTAAGGGCTGTCAACAAGTATGTACAATGACAAGAGAGAACCTCTCAATTTTTCTCTAGATCATATTCATCAATTTTTCTAGCCTCTGTTCTGATGATTTTTTATATTCTTATTACTCACTGCTGGGTCCTTTGCAGGTCAAATATTCACGATGAATCCAATTCTTCAAGCCCGACTTCAACGCCAAAAATAAATGCTTCAGTTCGTGGTCCAAGATCGGGATCAGGGCTGCCTCCGAAACTTTCTCCGGTTGTTCATAATACTCCTTCTCCAAGTGATTGGGATATTTCTGGTTGTACAAACAAACCTCCAGTGTTGTCTGGGGTTCCCAATCGCAAGCGCATGACATCAAATCGGTCTTCGTCACCACCTGTCACTCAATGGGCCAGTCAAAGACCACAAAAGATATCCCGTGTTGCTAGGAGAACGAACTTGGTCCCCATTGTTTCGAGCAATGACGATGTTCCTTCATCAGATAACATGTCAGATGTTGGTTGTAGCGAAACAGGGTTTGGATTTCATAGACGCTCACCAGCAGCTTCTCCTCAAATGAAATTAAAAGGTGAAAATAGTTTGTCTACAACAGCTTTATCAGGGAGTGAAGAATTCAGCCCCCCTGAGATCAAATCTAAAGACAAGGGAAAACAATCTGATGAGGTTGATGGGAAATCTGCTCAGAATGTTCCGAAAGTCTCCATCTCTGGTTTACAATCGAGAAAAAATAAGCTCGTCTCTGGAGAAGAGCTTGGGGATGGTGTGAGGAGGCAAGGAAGGACGGGTCGTGGCTTTGCTTCAACAAGGTCTGTCAACCCAATGGGAGTAATGAAACATGGAACAGCTAAACAACTTCGCAGTGCAAGAATTAGTTCTGACAAGAGTGAAAGGTAGGGAATCCTGTTTCCAAGTACTTATCTTTTCTGATTTTCTGGTATGTGTAAAAGCTTTTGGGTTTCATGAGGCTTATCTCCTAGATTTTTTTTCCCCATACGTCTCTGCAGCAGGGCAGGTCGTCCACCCACTAGGAAACTCTCCGACCGCAGGGCTTACAAACGTCAGAAAAGTACAGCAACAAATGCTACAACACTAGATTTTCTTGGTAAAATAAGTTCAATTAGTCAGAATTGGTCTTTGGCAGGATTGATATTTCTTCTCTGTTTTCATTTATGAATATTTTTGAATTTCTTATTTTGTTCAGATGATGGGCGTGAAGAGCTACTAGCTGCTATTAACTCGGCTATAAACTTTGGTTAGTAATTGTTCCTGATTCTGTTCTATGTTTATTTTTCAGAATTTATTAGTCTAGATTAATTGGTTTGGTTCATTGATGCAGCTCAGAATTTTCCTAGCTCTTTCTGGAAGCAAATGGAGCGCTACTTTTGCTTTATATCTGATGCACATATCAATTTCGTGAAACAGCAGGTAATTTGTTTTCTTGCACTTCAGACCTCATAGTTTGAAGGATGTGACCGATCATTTGTATATGTTTCTATGTGTATATACACGTCCTGTTGTCTAATGGGGTGGGATTTAAATGTGCTCCAGGGATTACTAAGTCTAAGGTGCAGATTTTTAGTTTAGTAAGACTAGCA